TCTCAGAGGCAACTAAGGAATTTCAAATTTTCCGATCTTATAGTGGATTTTGGTTTTTGTCCAGAAAGGATAATTGATCTGATGTAACTGAGCGGCTGCTCAGTATCTCTAAAATTGAGTCCAACATACTCTTCCTACAAAGTACTTTCAGCCTTGTCTCCCTCATGTTCAGTGCTCCAAAATCCCATCTTAATCTGAGATCAGTAATTGCTTGTATCCACTCAAGCTAAATGTGTACACTTCTTAGCTTATAAACACTTAGACTTCTTGACTATTCACTGAGCTAAGGTCCAGTAACATGAGAAGCACATTAAGAGCCTGATAATAAATTGAGGCACATACAGAGAAAAGATTCTCAGAGCAGTGGAAACCTAGGACATCAATTTAGCAGTTTTCAAGCTTAGTAATAAATATAGGATTTGTCTACAGATGTCATCACTGGAGACTGGAGGGAGGGAAATAGACAGATTTTTCCATCCCCTAAAATATCCTAATGAAACATTTGGTGGAATTTAAATAGGAAAACATTATGCTATGCCAGGAACAAGTTTTACTTTCTAATATTTCTTTGAATTACATGATAGTAGTTATCAAAAGATGTTTGTGGTGTGAAAATATGTGGGTTCGTTTTGCTTAATTTTTTTCCCCCAAGATGATCATGTTGAAACTTGTGGTTTTTGCTAGATCTTAAAAATTATTAAGCACTTTAGGAGACAAGCTTTTGTTTACACTGATACAGATGGCTGGAATAAATTAGTGGACTCACTAAAGAACAGCTCATTTTTAGTTTTAAATGCATTTGGGTGCTTATCAAAGCTCACATGGTGGCCATTTTATGTTACTTATTCATCTATTTGTTCTTTACAATTCCATGCCCACAGGCTACATCTGAAAATGGTCAGAGCTTCTAATAGAATTAATAATTGTCTCTCACACCTAAAGAGCATTGGTACCACTGCACTGTGGCATATCCTGGGTTATCCTGTGTAGCTATTCTCTCTGAAGAGCACTGAGAGTAAATCCAATTGGAAACAAGCAGATTAGAAAGGCAGTGCATGTCTTCACTACTGTGAATGTTTTAAGTTAAGCATTCTCCCTAAATTGCTGAAGAAATGCACAAAGTTTTATTTATATACTGCAACATCAATGCTGCTACTTTGGGAGAGGTAGTCAGAGCAAGCTTCCCCAAATTAAATCTTGAATTCCAGTCCTCCTGTATTGAATTAAGATGAGTGAGGACAAAGGATTGGCATAGTTACTCTATGGCTCTTTACTTACGGACCTTTCAGAAACAGTACAGTAAAGTCTCTCGCTTTCATACTTCAGCTTTTTCACATGTATACACTTGTTTCCTCCTTAACACCAGTACAGTGAAGACATGCAAAACAGGTGTCCTCAGAGTTGATGAACCCACACTGGAATCGGCAGCACTACTTCTTTCAACTTTAATAGTGATTTGCCTTGTCCTAGGAAAGTCACCACCACTGCTACTATGACTCCTAGCATAAGGGAAGAAATCAAAATGAAGTTGTTGGGAGCCTTCAGAAGCTGCTTGTAATCTTCATGGCATTTTCTTGCTAATCCCATTTCTCTTAGACCTTCTGCATACTGGATATATCACCTTTACACTGTTGAACTTGGCTAAGCCAGAAAGGGCACAAGCAGCAAATAACTGAAATGCATATCTCTTCACTGTCATAGTGAGGTGCTTGAAGAAGGTAAAAGAGCAACTTGGGTGCAATTCAGGCTTTTCCAAATACTATGAATTTGACAGATGAACTTGCTTAAGTGTAATGAGTAATCTGGACTGCTAATTCAGATGCTGGGAGATGCTGTGTGACTGTAATCATCACTCTTCATCAAATGCAATGAATAGGGAACCTGGTCCTGGAATAAAAAAAGCATCAGATTAAAGAGGTTCAAGGTACAACTACACAACAAATTAAGGTCTGGAATGTCTGTCTTTCTAGTATTTGAATGATGTGAATCAGGGGCAGTTTTGATGAAAAAGTAGGGAGCTGCTCGTACTATATGTCAGTACACTGAGACCTCTAGGCTCCCTAATACATCACTGCCAGAATTTGAATGTTGAACTTTCCAAGTCTACAGTTTACCCTTTAAACTCACAGACTAACTACTGCAATGGCTGGAGGAGGAATCTTTTGTGTTAGATTGCAGGTTGTGTTCCTGGAACCATTTGAAATTGAAGGACGTGGCTTTACTCACTGCCTGCTGCCCTCTCCTCCTTTGCCCTCCCAGTGGGCAGCCATTTCCAGCACAAGGCTGTTGCTGCTCTGGTAGCAGTGAACACCTGAAGCTTTTCTGAGAAAGTTCACATGCAATAATTTCTTTGGCATGTGAGCAGATTTTACCTGAAGAGCACAAAGAACAAAAGGTTAATGGCAACTTTCAAAAGTCTATAACTCAACCAAGCCTTAACTGCATTTCATGTCAGAAGTGAAAGTTAGGTCTTTAGCATCACTGTTTTTGCTTCTTTCAAAATCCTGCCGGGGGGGAGAAAAAACTTTAAAATCAGAGGCTTAGCACTTTATGAAAAAAGCCCAAACCATATCTGGGCTGTGTAAAAACTTCTCTTACTGAATTTTTTTATAACTCTTACTTTATAAAAGAGGAGGTACTTGTATTCTGATGATTGTTGTGCATGTCTTCCTCTTTCCATCCTTTTATTTTCTGAAACAAAGTTCAGCTGTAAACACACTCAGTGCTGATAAAAGCACTATTTGCCACAGCTGAGAATCCAGAGTTCAGATGCGTGATCCATGGAAGACCAGCCCTCCTGAACTGCTGGGGAAAGCTGGCAAACAGCGGCAGGCTGACATAGCCTGGCTGACTGCTGTGGTTTAAAGGCACTAAGTTGATCCTCAGGAGAAATGTGTAGGAACGGAAGTAAGAGGAGCCATGAGTTATAGCAGGGTATTGTTAGGTCTCTAAATCCCTTTCTCTGACCTGTACTTCTTGGCAGAATAGGTCTTGCTTAATTTGTAAGGAAAACTGCTTCTATGAAATCTAAATGGTGTTACTGTTTTCTAGTTTCACAGGTCAAAAATCCTACAGGTGTCAGGTTAATTTGACTTGCTAGATTACATGAGGGTAACCAATGATTTGTAACTTGCAGAACAAGAGAGAAGATGTGTGTAATGCAGAGCTCAGTGCCTGCTGCTAGTCTCTTCTAATGTAAATGCTCCTTTAGAACAAATGGAGGAAAACTGTAAGTGCTTGGACACAAAGCAGTTTATCATTACATATGCATGGAAATAATCTTTGTGAAAATGACTTACACTTAATGCACTTGAACAGTCAATATACTGCTGTAGGTCAGGAACAAATGCAACTAGGAAACTCCCCAGCTAGCATCAGAGATCACTGAGCTGCTCTGTAATGTCAATATTAGTGAAATGAACCAAAGACTCTTGGATTTGTTAGAGATAAGTACTAGCAATGCAGGAGATCCTGCTTCTGATTTTCCTGCCAACAGTTTTACTGTTTTCCATGGGTGATTGTAATCAGCAAGAATTGTTATGCAATAGTGCTGAAGCAAAGACTTGAGAAAACACAGATCTCACTTGAGACACAAAAGATCACAGCCTTATTTCTCCACATCTTACAAAAGAAAAAAAATCTCCACTGGGCCTCTCAAAAGTGCTCATTTACAGAGATGGAAAGAAACTATTTTTCTTTACCTTGTAATTATTTCTCCATGCTATTCTGTGAGAGGTTTTCTCTCTGGAGATATGAAAGGAAGAGAAAAGGCAAGCCAATTCCCTCCTGCACCCAAAGGGTCATCAGTGTCCAGAAGCTACATACACTTTTCCAGGCTTTTTGTAAAGCAAATAGGAGTAGGCAGCCCTTTTTTAATCCTCTTTTTAATTTTTTTTTTTTTAATGCTGTAATAAAGAAGGGAGAATGAAAGCTAACTGGATAAAATTAGTGCTATAAAGAGAATGTTGAAGAGCAGATCTGGGGTATGTTTTGAGAAAGGGAGAAAGAACCCAAGAAGTTGTCTGGCACACATATTGGAAAATTAAAGATTAGTCTTAAACTTCTCTGTTCTTGTGAAATGGTGATAAAAGCTATTGTATTTTGGAGAATCATAGGTGTGGCTGCTTGAAAGTGCTGTCTAGAAACTGATGTTACAGTGTTTGCCTTGTTTGGTGCTTTTTGGTTTGTTTGCTATTTTTTTGTTGTTGTGGCTTCTGTTAGGTTGTTTTGTTCCTCCTCCCCCCACCCCATGGAGAATACTTGCTTTTGCTGTTTCTGGTTTTTTGTTTTTAAGGTAGCAGGAAAGGTAGAACTTCTTTGTACGTTTGTTGAAGTGGGAATATTTATTTCAGTGATACCATAAATATTGTGTTTCTGGTATCAAACAATCGCAATGTTTGGGAGGAAAGACACTGAAGAGTTCACAAAGCCAGTGACCCGGCCTCCTGGCTTTCGTGGCACTTCCCGCAGCGGGATGGCTCTGGGAGGGGCGCCTCCTGCGCAGGTGGGAAGGCTCACCGTCCCTGTCGGGACAAGAGTGAAGGTCCGGGGACAGCCTAGGCCAGTTGAGCTGGGAGAGGGTACATGTGTAACCCTGGGAAGGGTCCACCCCTCTTTGGGCAGGAGAGGGGCCGTGGCTCCAAGTGCAGCAGGGCTGGCTGCACTCGTAGCGTGCAGGCTGCTCCTGTGAGATTGTCATGATAAACACCCAAGATGATCTTTGGCCCTCTCCGCGCAGTTTCCCTTCCAGGAGGTGCAGGGACCGGGTGTGCACGTGGTCCGTGATAGGGAGAGGCACATGGACTCCGGCGAGTGGCGCGGCCCTTTCCCCGCGGGGCAGTGTGTGCTGAGCGCCCCGTGCAGGGCTCCCCCGCCCTCGGTGCCCGCTGTCCCCGCCGGTCCCGCGGGGCACCTGTGCCCTGCCCCCGGGCGGTTCTGCCCCGCGGGGCGGCCCCGGCCCGGCGCGGGGCGCGCCCGCCCACCTGGGCGTTGCTGCCCGGGCTGCCGGCTCCGCCTCCTCCCGAGCTGCGCTCCGTTCCACTCCGGGACTGCGGGGAGCCGGGGGAAGGCGGTGGCGGTGTGGACACCATGGCTCGTGTGCTGAGCCGGGACCCGGTGGACATTGAGGTACCCACTCGCCCTGCCGGGACGTGCAGCTGTCGCTAGCGGGGAGGGGGCTCTGCCCGGCGGCGGCGCCCGGGCCGGGAGCGCCCGGCAAAGTTTGGCGGCGCAGGGGGCCCCGGGGCTGGCCTGCCGCCCGGGACGCCGCGGCCCTTGCCAGGACGGCCGCCGGGGCAGCGCCGGGCGCAGCGCTCCGGCTGTCCCCGTGTGCCTCCTCGCCCCGGGCAGCGCGGCAGTCGCCCGGCCGAGGGGTGTGCGGGGGTGGCGCCCGGCGCCTCCCCTCTCTTCCGCTCCTCTCACTCTACGGAGAAGTCGAGGGCAGGGTCTGGCCGAGCCCCGTCTCCCTGGTGGGGTCGGTCTCCCGGTTCTGGCAGGGTTCCTGCGGGGCAGCGCTGCTCGGGGGCCGTGACCTGATGAGCCCTTGGCGGCCTCAGGCTGCCAGGCTGGTGTTCTCTGTCCTGCAGCTGCCTGTGGGCCGGTGGAGGTGTGCAGGACCGCAGCTCTTCGCTGTCCCGCCATGGGCCAAGCTGAGCGCACGGGCTGCACCCAGTCTCCCTGGACTAAAGCAGTTGCATGGAAGGCTGAGCAGGATGGCAGGTTCAAGTGGCTTGCTGCACCTGTGGCACTTAATGTTTTTGTATGACATTCCTTGCTTCAGGTCTCGCTGGGATCTTGGAAGTAGGTTTGGGGCTGCCCTGGTGCAGGGTGGACTGACCACTGTTAGTGCAGTGGAATATGTGGTGAACTCCTGCCCACATTAGCCAGGTTGTATGGTTGGGCTTCAAGGTAGCTTTTTCCCACCCTTCACAGGACCTCGCATGTGGCTGTAAACTTCAGCTCTTTATGAAGAGTCTAGAATAAGCCAACTTGCAGTTGATAGTCTTGTTCTTGCCTGACACAACTTTTTGTTGTGGTACACCTTGAAGTGTAAGATACTAAGTTTAGGGTGGGCTGTTGTAGCTCACTGAGGGCCCAGTCATAATACCTGAATGTGCAAAGCAGCAGCTTGAACACACCTCTAGGTCAGTTGTGACTGAATTTTATCATCAGTTCTCATATTGAGTTTTTGTGCCTAGTCCATTTCCTAAGCAAGCGGCTGCTCAAACCATGACTTGTGTCCAGAAGTGGAATGAGCAGGAAGAATGAACTTTCATAGAAGTCTTCCTGGTAGTTAGGGAGGCACTGTGGTATGAAATCAGTACTGTCTTTTACCAGCTCAGTGTTTTCAGAGCAGCCAATCTGGGATTTTTCAAGGGTTGAAGATAATTTTTTTTATGACAAAGGATTGATTTTTAGTTGTACAGGTTTTTGAGTATTTTCCTCAAATTTTTAATGCAAAATATTTCTAGGGTTACACTGTTTTGCATTTCTAGATATATGACTCAGATTCAAAGAACAATATTATGATAGAACTGTGTGTTGGTAATAGTATGCAGTACTACATGATTTAGAAGACTAATGGATTTTGAAAAGGCTAGTATTTGCTTTACTCTGAAGTTGCAAATAGAAACTTTGGTCAGCATCTTACTGTGGTTTTGTTTTCAGCAGTCATTTAAACTAGCAAGGAAATCAAGGCAGTCTACTTCTTACCAAATGTATTGCCCTTTCCCCATCTGTTTGAATAAATTTAGTCATTGTATGATTTGTCTCTCAGATGAATATATCAGTAATTGCTGATAATCTAATTGTAGCTCTCTGTGGTGTTGTTTGGTTTTTTTCTTTTTCCCCTGCATAGAACTGTTTTTTTGGGGGAGGGGGAAGTATTTTCAATAAAATGTATTTTATTTTTATCTTTGAAGTAGGGACAGTGTGTGTTAGCTAAGTCTATCATTGTAGGTAAATATTCTCAGTAATTTGTTTGTTGAAGGGAGCAATCTATCAACAGCACAATGTTTTGGTCAATTTCTTGGCTACAATATAAAAACTGAACAAATGATTTAATGAAACTTATCTCAATGGTTAGTGTCTCAAATTCAAGTTCATGTAATTAAAATATTAAATATGATCTTCAAAGTCCAGGTATTACTTGATAATTTATATAAATAGTTAAAGCTGAATAAAAAGACATGTCATTCATTAAAGAGGAGCTGAGAATCTGTGCTAGAAGTAGCTAAAATCACAGCCAGTTCTCCAAGTTATTTTATAAAAGAAAAATTCCAGGAAGCTACCCCGAGGAATCTTGTCCCCTTTGTTCAGCTTTGCCAGAAGCTTGAGCCTAACTAAAGAAGATAAAGGAATTATATAGATAATCGTGTTCTAAAAGTCTGCTTTCCATATCGTGGGAGCCTAGGTGGGTTGCGATTTAAGTGTATGGTGGTCTCCATTTATTTATTTTTTTAAACACTACAACTGCCACAAAAATAGCTCCCAAAATACCAAAACAAAACACCAACTCCCCCTCCCCTCAACTACTGCCAACCCCACAAACTCCAAACACTGCCTTTTTTTGAATACAGTCAACTGTCAAAATGTGCTGTTAATATTCCTTGGATGCAGATACTCTAAGCAAAAAGAAAGAAAGCCTGTTCAAAAATAGCTACATGTGAAAGTACCTACCTTGTATTTATGGTACAAGGACTTGCCTTGGATTTTTATTTATTACCCCTCTAAATCTTTATAAGAATTTTTGAAATCTACATTATGAGGAAAGCAGTCCCTTTCTAACTTGAATTGTGAAACTATGTGAAATGTACATGCAAGATCCAGAGAATGTTTACAGACTTCATGTAAACTTCCCAGTGATACTTTGGGAAAGAAAGTCTTTCTTTTTTCACCTTCCCTTTTGGTTTTACCTGATTCCTTCCTATCATTGTGTATAAGCCATATGTAATTATATCTATTGCAGTCTTCAGTTGGGAAGAATTGGGAGAAGAATAAACTTGACAAGTGAAACTTGCTTACCTTGCTGTCATAGTCCATGATGCGTAGCACCTGCTAAGTATATATTCCAGGGAATGAAGAACCATCACTTCTATCAAACCTGCTACTTCAAACAGTATAGAAACTGCAGGTTGTACAATAAGGCTTCCTTGAAGCTTATGAGCACTTCCCTAGTGGCCTTTACATGCAGCAGGAAGCACGAGAAGTTCTGTTTCCCTAACTGATCCTGGAACCGGGTGAGTCCTTTGAGTTCAAGTGTGCTGTCTGTACCCTTAGTGAGCTGCTCAAATAGCCTATAACCTCATTCCATATTCCACTAGGCACTGAGGACCTCCTGGAGCCTCCTGTGTCCTCACTAAGGACCCAGTGGGCACAGTCTGGTCCTTAAGAAACATTCCTCTGCACCCTGAAGTTAATGTTGTTTGTAAAGCTTTTGTTCACAATAGGCAATAGCAATTTTTTATACCTATGAATTACACCACCACAGAAATAAGAACACAGTGAACAAAAAGCACAGCAAATGTTAGATTTCTGAAGTAACACCAAACAAAGATGCTTGAATGAATTTTATAACTTCTACAATAAAAATATGTGACTTAAGAGCCATCTATACTGTCTGAAGCTAAATGAAAAGAAAGGTTGACACAGTTTATGGTGACAGTGTTCATTGTATTATAAGTGAAAGTGACACAAATTTACCCTGATAATTCTCAGGCAATTCCCAGATTGCAATTTCAGAACATGGCTCTATCCCTTCACACCTTTCACTTTATTCTCACTTCTGACATCAGTGCTGGGGTGGAAACAGCTGTGACAACATTCTAGGTACCCAGCTGCTGGTCCAACAGGGAATTACCCATCAACACCCAGCTCCCTTTTAAACATATGCAACAGATGATTCAGAAGGAAGGTGAGATCTGTGAAGTGCCAACATACTCTCTACCTCCTGTAAGAATGATAACACCGTTTTTCACACTAAGTTATGTTGGAGGGATGGGTTTTAATTTACTGTCAACGTTTCAGGTTTGTGACAGTGTGGCAAAGCATTTCTGTTCTGCTGGGAAGAAGCCCTTACCAATGAAGGCTGGGAGACCTACTCTCACTAGCTGTAGTCTGGATGGCAAAGAGTTATAAAGTGTTCACCACCCAAACATCACCGAATGAGATGACTAGAGAGACTGCAGGGAAAACTGGAATGCAGTCAGGAAAACACAGCACACAGAGACCAATACTCAATAATGTCATTCAAGAGTCTACTGAACCCTTCACAGTTTTGCCATTCATTAATTTCTGAGTACTTGATTTGGCAACGTTAATCCTTCAAATTCTCATGAAATGGATGAGAACAGTGAAAGACTGCAGGTAGAGAGGTATGTCGGAGAGCTAAGCTTGTTTTGCTCAAAGGGAGATGCAGGGCAGGGATTGAAAAATAAAAAGTACTGTTAAAACACAGGAAACCTTCAGCAAGATAGCAGGTAATTCTACTAGTCAGCATGGCTCACAAAACTGTCAGGCAAAAGTTATGTGAATAAATAGCTGAAGCAGCTTCATTTGATCTAGGCTAAACTTTTATTTTTAAAAGCCCCAATTATTACTGTGTCTCTCTCTGTTGTAGATACCTGTCAGTTGTTTGAAGTTCCATAATGAAGCTTTAATATGTAGAATGTTTTTATGCTGTTGCTTTATAGCTTGTTGTGATGATCAGATGGCTGTTCCAGATTGATGGCTGTGTCTTCCTAGGGTCATTTGACAAACAATCAGTGAGGAAACAAAGCTTCCTGTTTAGCTGTTTTTGTTTAATGAATTTCTCAAGCCTTTTCATTGTTTTAGAGGTTTTATTATAGTAAACCCTTAACTGAGTGGAACAGCAATTACAGCATGATTGCTAAGACCTCATGGAAGATTATGGACCACAATTACCACGTCTGTCTTAGAGGATTGAACAATGTGATTTACTCATCAGGTTAAAATTTGGTCTGGCAAGTAGGAAGGAAAGTCTTCTTTATGAAACATTTTATCTTTTTATGTTTTATGTGCAAATCCTGTTGATGCTCGAGTTATGTATGATCTTGCCTCCACTGCTGATAGTTTGCAAGGTTGTAGTGCTGAAGTTCAGTCAAGTCCTC